GTATGTATATTCTCTTACACAAATACCAACACACACAAATATATATATATATATATGTATGTATGTATATTCTCTTATACAAATATCAACACGCACAAATATATATATATATATATATATAGAAGTATATATAATCATGTATACACAATTGAATGTTATTGTGTTTCCAATCCTCTGTTTTTTCCCGTGGTGTGGATTCACAGAAAGAAGCGGAAGCCCAATCCTGGCAAGGTGAATGCCAAAAGCTGCAGGCGGTTACTTCGGACAACCAGGTTTGTTTGTCCGTGTCGCAAACGTGTATTATGTCGTTAAGTGAGGTTGTAAGTACGAGGTGACTGAGATAGTGTAGGTCGCTTATAAATGTTATTCTTGAATTACCCAGTGTGTCGTAAATAGAAGCCTCGCTTGTAGATCTTCTGTCGCAAACTGATTTGTGATGGGAACCAAACGTATGTCGTAAATTCTGATGCCGTCTTTGCAGTAATGAGAAGTGCGTATATGTTACTTAGGCTGTCCGATACTCGAACTGCGACCCGTGTCGCAAATAGGTCGCATATGGCTTTGTCGTTTATAATTTAACCGGGCGCTGCATGCTGTATTGAGGTTTATTGTCTGCAGATGTGTTGTTATTGAATGTATTCATTTGATTGATAGTATAAATAAAAGGTCTGTGTGTGTGTGTGTTTATCCTTGGTGGGTTGTTAAATGTGCGCATTTGATTCATATAAGGTGCATACAGTAAACGTATTAAACGCTTGCGTGCTGAGCTGTTGCTAGACACATGCCCAATCAAAAAACCGGAATGCTGAATCGCACAGCGAATATAAGCGTAGGGAATGTGCAGCCATCAAATGAGCTCCAATCAATTTGCACAATGCAAAGCTATGGATATAAATACTTTAAACCGCTTGTCGTAGTGCTGTGACTGATTTAGTGAGCTACAACCATGCGCATACGGTGCAACTACGATCAGAAGTGCTATTAACTAAATACTATTATTCAACTATCATAAACTGGTGGTAGCACCATAGTAATGTGAATTACTATGGACTGATGATAGTACCCTTGTAGCATTGTGAATTGCTATTGACAGATGGTAGTACAATTGTACTGCCGTGCTCTCAAGTCGATCTACCAATGCCGATCTCAGAGACTCCAGGCAGAGTGCAACCACCTGCGCACCCAATTGGAGGGGCTCAATCGCACAGCCAATGAAACCGTCGAGAATGCGCGTCAACTGGCCGAGCTCCAATCGAAAGCTCAGGAATTGTACGATGAGAAACTAAAAATAGAACGCGAACGCGACGGAGTGCGTGCGGAGTATACACAGACGCGCACCAAAGCTGATGAGATGATGCACGATATCACCCGCCTGCAAGAAGAGGTATATATATGTATGTATGTATGTATGTATGTATGTATATATGTATATATATATATATATGTGTGTGTGTATACGTAT